TGTGGAGTAATGCCCCTTTATGGACTTGCTGAAACAGTGTCCGCTCGATATCTCGAGTAATTATTAACGGATTAACTTCAAACTTCACAACAAGGTTAATTACCATGAAACCACGGACAAGTTCGATAACCGCCATTATCCGACCGTAATTACTGGAGTTATTACCCTTGGTTTCATTAATGCGATGCATGCGTTCCATGATGTTGTATTGCACTCATTGATCTACCAGTTATGTTGAATGATTTCTCTTTTAATATCAATTACTCACAAATACTTCATATATTTCAATCATACAAACAACTGCTCATTCAATGTGTGACGGGCGTATTATATACCGCTCGCGGTAACCTTGTTGGGCATAAAGAGACGAATGCAGTCATGATATTAGAATTGACCCCAGGGTCTGCCCCACCCTTGCAGACTTAACCCACGGGTCATAACTTTGAAACGGTTGAGATCCCCACCCCAAAACAATATATACAAATTCTGGGCAAAGAGAGACCAATGCAGTCATAATATTAGAATTGATCCTGGGGTCTGGCCACAACCCTAGGGACCTAGTTTCTGAGTCAGAGCTTGAAAACAGTTAAGATCCCCACCCCATAACCATACATAAAATTGCTGGCATGAAAACTCTAATACAGATATGCTACAAGAATTGGCCTTTGGGTCTGTCATATTCATTTGGATCTCATTTGGAGAATATTTTGCCATGATTGCTTAGATATCCAGGTGAGCGATACAGGCCCTCTGGGCCTCTTGTTTAAAAGACTAGTCTGGTTTCTTGGTCATTTCTACTGTATATCAGCTCATTAAAATTTATCATAACATCTGTATTGCTCTAGAGGAAAAAAAATATGTATGTATGGCATTCTGCAATATTTCTAAGGCTTTTGATCGGGTTTTGCATAAGGGTTTGACGATTAATTTTAACTCTTATGGAATTTCAGGGGAATTGTATCAATGGTTGGGAAATAACCTATTTCAGAGGCACCAGAGAGTCTTTTTGAATAATTCTTGCTCTCACTTAGGTTTCATTGAAGTAGGTGTTCCTCAGGGTTCGATTCTTGGACCTCTTTTGTTTCTTATATATATAAATGGTATTGCTGATGTTTTTGAATCAACCTCTCATCTTTTTGCAGACAATTCTTCTTTGTTAAAATCATCCTCTTCATGTCAAGAAATCAAAACTGTTATGAATAGAGATCTTGAGTCTCTGAATGCATGGTCCCAAACTTGGTTATTAATATTCAATCCAGAAAAAACTGAGGTAATTTTTGTTTCAAACTTGGTTGAAATTGATGAAGATTTACAATTAGAATGTAATGGCAAATTTTTTAATTTTACTGTCCACTTGAAATATGATCTTTATAGAATAAATCTTGTTGATAGTCCAGTTTGTTATTGTGGTCATCCCTGTGAAAATACCTTTCACTTTTTTTGTGAGTGCTTACTTTTTAACAACAAAAGACACATCCTGCTCCAAAATTTGAATGTTGATTTAGATTTAGATTTAGAACTATTTTTGTTTGATAATAGTCAACTTTCGGTAGAAAACAATATGAACATTTTTAGACATGTGCATCCCATTACATCAAATCCAGCAATAGGTTTTGATAGCTATAATTTTCTTTGTTTTAATTTATGTGTGTACGTTGTTATGTGTTTGTGAAATTGCAAATTGAAACTACCATTTTGCCTGGTTTCTTTGTTACATTGATTCTGTTCGTTTTGAAATTACTCTACCAGGCTGCATGTCAGGAATTTTGAATAATTTATAATTCATTCAAATGAGGATCTATTTCACAGTTTACACGACTTCTTTTCTAGGTAACAGTAGACCAGTAACATGCTTAGATGTTAATTAGGGCCCTGTATCGTAATCACTCTGTCTGTCTGTTTGTTTGTCCATCCACAAATTTTGTTCCTGGCTGATAACTTTGGTGTTTATTGACTGATTTACATGAAACTTGGTCAAGATTTTCAGTTCACAAAAATACACACTGAGGTTAAAAGTCAAGGTCAAAGGTCAAGGTCATTATGTTAAAAGGTCCAGGTCAAATTTTGCATCTTTTCACTGATGAACATTTTGTTATGACATGATGAAGCAAAGTTGATCAGAATTAAACAAGGAGTCAACTGACCAAAGGTCAAGATAATTGGGTCAGAGGTCAAGGTCACCGGGTTAAAGGTCAAGGTCAAATTTTGTAGCTTTTCACTAATGAGCATTTAATGACATTATGAAGCAAAGTAGGTCAGAATTAAACAAAGAATCAACTGACCAAAGGTCAAGATCAATGGGTCAATGTCGAGGTCAAATTTTGTATCTTTTTCCTTATGAATATTTTGTTATCATATTATGAAGCAAAGTTGGTCGGAATTAAAAGAATAAGCCAACTGACCAAAGATCAGGTTCACTGGGTTAAAGTTCAAGGTCATTTGGGTCCAAAGGTCAAAGACAAAGTGGATCTCTGACTTTGACCCTGGCTCTTGATGGGGGAGGTATTTAAGGTGAAATAAAACAAATCAAAGCAAACAAATGAGTATTGCATCGGCATTTACATTTCTGTTAGCCCAGCAAATATGGAGGTGGAAGGAAACAAGACTCACATCATAGTACATGTAAAATGTATATTTTTCTTCCTTGCGATTCTTTTTGAAGTCCAAATGTCAAACGTCAAGCTTAGCTATATGCGCAGATTGCTTCTTGATAATTATGGGGGATATATTGCCACAAGACGGGGCCCTTACTGACCTGTCAGTGTTCTAGTTTATTCAAATTAATGAACTTGGCCCACTTTCAAGGTTACACATGGTCATGTGTGTATATACTTTGAATTTACCTCATATTAATAAACAATTGACCTGGATTTGGCAAGTTGCATGCTGGGATGAAGGACTATAAAGGTTAACGGACTAGTTTGACTTCTAAGGTCATAGGGTTTAAAGTGCTTAAACGCTTTAACAGGTTCTTTTGAATTACCCAGAGTCATAGATACTGATACTTTGCCTGTAGCTTTATTTTAAGGTTACAAGTTCAAGATTTGTACCAGGTGAACAATGTAGGCCCATTGGGCCACTTGTTCATCTTGGTAAGTTTGTACAACATACAAAGACTGAGTCTAAGTTCATTGTTGAGCAAAATCTACTCATAGTTTATTAGCATACTGCTATCTGATTGGTTGATAATTTCTACAATAACTTAGTAAAATATGACTGGATTCTGATGAATTTATTGGTAAATCGGAGGGGGTTATTTCAGTTTCTATTTTCATGGTTAAAAATATGGACAATTAATTACTCATCATGGATGGACAGGTCTTCAAGTGCTTGATTTAAAATATAAATTTCATTAACCTCACTGTTCCGAAATCGGGACACTTTTTAGATAAATATCGATGTTCTTTATACCATACTACCAATCCAAAAATGTTTGTTCATTTTTCATAAAAAGATACTATCCATTTTTCATTTCTATCACAATTTGATATTTCAGGCACTTGGTTCCTTAAAAAGAACACAAAATACCATCAGAGTTTCGTATGCCCTTGAACCGGTGTTACTATACCCTGAAATTTATTTAAGCAATAAACTGCATAGATGTGGCAGACCAACTGGTATAACTGCCACATGTGTTACAGACAATCTGAATGGTGCGCGCTAGCGCACCATGATAAGTTTGTCTGTGACACATGTGGCAGTTATACCAGTTGGTCTGCCACATCTATGCAGTTTATTGCTTATATTTATATTTCTATAATGAGAAATACACAAAAATAATATGTCTTTTCCAAATTTCAAATTTCCCGCTTATTACCGTCAGGTCAGGTCAGTATCTAGAACGGCACAAAGATAACAGCTGACGTCATGCGCTATTTCCCATACAAAATTGAAAAGACTCCGCAACTTTCGTAAATAATTCATTTGATTTTGATTTATATATATATCATATTCTCGATTCATAAATAATAACAAATGACATTTTGTAAGTAACTAATCAAGTGTCGTAAAACATTTTCCGATTTTATTGCGACCTATATCTGGCGCACCCACTCAACGGAAGCTCGCAGTAATCAGGTCAGAGTTATATTTGCGGTCCGGCATGTTGTTGATGTTGATCGTGCAACCGGAGAATGTTGAATTGGTGAAAAATCCATGCGTAACATTGTTTGTTGATCTCACAGACACTTGACACAGGCAGCTGGTGTTAAGGATCAAAGCAGAAGATACCGATAAGTTCGGTAGTGACACTGTTAAGTCACTCGGAGGTGCAAAGACCAACTTCAGTTATAGTCTCATAAGATGAAGCTGCTATTGGCAGTACTTTAGTAGTAATATAGAAGGGCTTTGCCACACCAAATGTAAATATTTGGGGATAAACGATCAATATCGGCAGAAAATATGCATAGTTGAAATATTTGAGAGTCAACGAGGGTTCTGATAAAATTTCTTCTTCAAACTAGCATTAGTTTTGATAAAATAGACTTTTGAAAATGATATCCAAATAAATGGTGTTGCACGGTACGTAAATCAGGAAAGTCTTGTTTTGGTAATTATTCTTACCTTTAAATTGTTCATGTAACGATAATCAGCAGCCAATACAGCTTCATACAGTTTTATTGTCATGAAAAGTATTATCAAATGAAAACTGTATACATAAAATTACTTCTTTGCATTGAATGACAGTTTCTTAGTCCGTTTTCCCACAAGTGTCCCGATTTGGGTACAGTGATGGTATCCTTCTGTCATCCATACTCCCATGGGAACTAAGGCGGTACATTTAACTTTTAAGGGAAATAACACTTTTGAGAATATTTTGTCCATTTTCATTAAAAAAAAAAAATTAAACTTGGGTGGGGGGTGGAGGGGGTTAATTATGATGAGATAGCAAATAGATGGTATGAGAAAGAATTAAGATCATGATCCAACCCTGATATTGGGGTAATATTACAATATTACAAATCAGGTGACTGTAAAGTGTATCTTGTTTATTTTTGCAGAGTATGAATTCCCTGACACCTTAGCTGATTTTGGGTATGGCTTCAATGATGGTAAGTATACATGGTTATGAGATCCACAAGGGTAACACAAAACTCTCCTAGCTGATTCTTCCCGAGGGAAACTTTCCCACTTAGCCTGGATGATTCCCCCCCCCACACTTTGTATTGGTTTTAATAAGGTGTGTGTGTGTGTTTGTGCTAATGGCTAGCATATTCTTTCCCCTTCTGCTCTTGGTTTATACCGAGACTGGGGTGATGATAATTAGTCTATAGCATGCTATGATGAAGGGCTATTAAGTTTGTACAAATGAATGACCTTGACGCATTTTCAAAGTCATTGGGGTCAAATTTTTTAAAAACTTCAATTTCTTATTTTGAACATCCAAAAGACCCAGGGTGATGATATTTGGTCAGTAGCATACAGGGATGAAGGACTATTTTGTTCAAAGGAGTGAACTTGGCTTATGTTTAAGGTCCAAGTGGTCAAATATTTTCAAACTTTTAACAACTTAGAGGAATTGAAAACTGATTTGCAAGCTTTTAAAAACGTCTGTTTCTTTTGTCAAGCAAAGAGTGCAAGTGCCCTTTGTCAAGTCTCAAATCCACTGAAAACAGTGTGCCATATCAGTATAGTCAGCTGACAAAAATCATGGAGACATTTTGCCCAATTGCGCTCTAATACTGAGTGGATTATAGTCGAGACACTGGTCATTTGCACTCTGTGCTTAACATCTGAAACAGGCGTTTTCTCAAGGTCACTTCTTTTGCTTAACCAAACTGCCAAGGGTGATGGTATTTGTCCAGTAGCATGCTGTGAAATAGGGTAACCATGTTTGTTTTGACCATCATTCAAGGTCACTGGGGTCAAATATGATAAAATCTTTTCATTATATTGCAAAATTCCTGTTTGTGTTCAAAACAAACTTAGCCTTTATTAGCTCACCGGGTCCGAAGGACCATGGTGAGCTTATGCCATACCGTGGCCTCCGTCGTCTGTCGTCCATCCATACGTCAACACTTTTTTTTAAACAACTTCTTCTTCTTAACCACTGATTGGAATTCAACTAAATTTGATTGGAAGCATCCCTAGGTGGTGGGGATTCAAAATTGTACAAATGGTGGGGCTGACCCACCAGGGGACTGAGGGACAGGGTCAATTTGGCTATATTGCTTTAAGCAACTTCTTCTCTGGAACTAAGAAATGGATATCAACCATATTTGACTGGAAGCATTCCTAGGTAGTTGGGATTCAAAATTGTACAAATGGTGGGGCTGACCCCCAAGGGGGCTGAGGGGTGGGGCCAAAATGGGGCAATTTGGCTATATTGCTACAAACGACTGTAGAACTATGCACTGGATATCAATCATATTTGATCAAAAGCATTCATGGGAGGCAGGGATTCAAAATTGTACAAAAGGTGTGGCTGACCCCACAGGGGGCTGAGGGGTGGGGCCAAAAAGGGTTATTTGGCTATTCTGTTTTATGCAACTTCTTCTCTGGAACTAAGTGATGGATATCAACCATATTTGACTAGAAGCATTCTTAGGTGGTGGAGATTCAAAATTGTACAAATGGTGGGGCTGACTCCCTAGGGGGCTGAAGGGCGGGCCAAAAGGGGGCAATTTGACTATATTGCTACAAATGACTTCCACTGGATATCGATCATATTTGATCAAAAGCATTCATGGGAGGAAGGGATTCAAAATTGTACAAGTGGTGCGGCTGACCCCCCAGGGGGCTGAGGGGCGGGGCCAATAGGGGGCAATCTGGCTATTATGCTACAAACGACTTCTTCTGTAGAACTATGCACTGGATATCAATCATATTTGATCAAAAGCATTCATGGGAGTCAGGGATTCAAAATTGTACAAAAGGTGGGGCTGACCCCCCAGGAGGCTGAGGGGCGGGGCGAAAAAGTGTTATTTGGCTTTGCTGCTTGATGCGACTTCTTCTCTGGAACTAAATGATGGATATCAACCATATTTGACTAGAAGCATCCCTAGGTGGTGGTGATTCAAAATTGTACAATTGGTGGGGCTGACCCCCCAGGGGGCTGAGGGGCGGGCCAAAAGAGGACAATTTGGCTATATTGCTATAAATGACTTCTTCTGTAGAACTATGCCATGGACATCAATCATATTTGGTCGGAAGCATCCCTAGGTGGTGGGGATTCAAAATTGTACCAATGGTTTACAGTTTATACCTTAAAGATGGTTGAGATCCCCACCATATAACCATATATACAATTGCTGAGTATAAAGAGAAGAATGCACATTTGCTTCCAGGATGGCCCGAGGGTCTGGCCCCACCCTTGGAGACATAGTCCCTGGGTCATAACTTTGAAACGGTTAAGATCCCCACCCCAAAACTATATATACAAATGCTGGGCATAAAGAGACAAATGCAGTCATGATATTAGAATAGACCCTTGGGTCTGACCAAACCCCTAGGGACCTAGTTTCTGAGTCACAGCTTGGAAACTGTTGAGATCCCCACCCCATAACCATACATTAAATTGCTGGGCACGAAAAATCTAATACAGATATGCTACAAAGATTGGCCTTGGGGTCTGGCATATTCCCTTGGATCTCACTTGGAGAATATTTTGCCATGATTGCTTAGATATCCAGGTGAGCGATACAGGCCCTCTGGGCCTCTTGTTATTCATTGCAAACTGACAAATCTTATTCCAAATTTAACAACTTCTTCTGAATAACCAAAAGACCCAGGGTGATGATATTTGGCCAGTAGCATGCCAATGGCTACCAAGTTGTTAAAATGAATGACCTTGACTTTTATTCAAGGTCACAGGGGTCAAATATGTTTAAAACTTGAAACAACCTTTCCAGAATAACCTAAAGACTAGGGTGGTGATATTTAGCCAGTAATTTTCTGGGATAAAGGGCTACCATGTTATATATAAGGTCAAACTCTGTTTCAGCTTGTGATATCCATGTTTGTTCTGTTTTCTCCACTACCTATTTACTGTGCATGTGTTCCTACAGAGTAGATTGTTCTATGTTCCACAGAGGGACAGTTGCGCCACCTGGAGACTAAGGAAGCATACCAGTTCCAGGTTAGGGAAGATGATCTGGAGTATAACCAGAAACACTATGAGGCAATAGGAGAGGTCAGTATAGTTCACTTGTCTGCATGGAAGGAAAATTCTCCATTTTTAGCTCACCTGGCCCAAAGGGCCAAGTGAGCTTATGCCGTGGTGCGGCGTCTGTTGTCCGTCCGTCTGTCGTCCGTCCCTTGTCCGTCCCTCGTCCGTACGTCGTCCGGTGTCAATATTTAATTTTAATAACTTCTTCTGAATAACCAAGAGGCCCAGGCTGATGATATTTGGCCAGTAGCATGCTGATATGAAGGGCTACCAAGTTTGTTCAAAGCAATGAACTTGACCCACTTGACCTGGGGTCGAATGTCTTAAAATTTTCAAACAACTTCTTATCAAAAACAAAAAGACCCAGAGTACTGATTTTGGGCCTGTAGCCTTCTGGGATGAAGGTCTACCAAGTTTGTTCAAATGAATGACCTTGACCCACTTTCAAGGTCACAGGGGTCAAATATGTTAAAATCATCAAACAACTTCTTCTCAATAACCAAAATGCCCAGGGTACTGATATTGGGCCTGTAGCATGCTGGGATGAAGGGCTACCAAGTTTGTTCAAATGAATGACCTTGACACACTTTCAAGGTCACAGGAGTCAAATATGTTAAAATTTTCAAACAACTTCTTGATAACCAATCGGCCCAGGGTACTGATATCGGGCCTGTAGCATGCTGAGATGAAGAGCTACCAAATTTGTTCAAATAAATGACTTTGACCGTCTTTCAAGGTGACAGAGGTCAGATGTCTTAAAATCTTCAAATGACTTCTTCTCAATAACCAAAAGGCCCAGGGTACTGATATTGGGCTTGTAGCATGCTGGGATGAAGGGCTACCAATTTGTTCAAATAAATGACATTGACCCTCTTTCAACCTAATGTCCTTGTTCGTCATTCAAGGTCACAGGCGTCATTTGTTTAAATCTTTTAATAGGTTCTTATGAATCAAACACTGATATTCTGCCTGTAGCTGTATTTTAGTCCACTTTTAAGATTACAAGTGTGAGATTAATACCAGGTGAGCGATGCAGGCCCATTGGGTTTCTTGTATTTAGATTGTAAGGTTGGTATACCTCAAAGCACTGAAGTGTTTTACCTTGATATTCCCAAAAATTGTCCTTGGTTGTATTCTAAACTAACATAAATGTTGTTAGAATTTATAATTGCACCTTGAGGATCTGCTCTTCTGAGGTTTAAATAATTTTGAAATCTTGTTTTTATCTAGTATAACAGTAATTTTTATTAAATCTAACAAACTATGATCAATTTCAAAAGCAAACATGTATCTGAAAAATGTATTAAAAAATCAAGGTACCTTTAGAAAATCCAGATGATACTGGACAGCATGAATACCGAACACCTCACTAATAAAGCTTCTTAAAGTGATAGGAGTGTATTGCTAAACGGAAATAGGAAGTACATCCCTAGTTGAAAATCCAATGTAGGGAGACAGTATCACAATTTCCGCATAATCTAATGTTTAATATCAAAGTGATGAATATTGTATGCTTATTATTGACAGAACAGTGTGTTCTTTCAATATTAAAGTATTGCAAAGCAATCCAGGCATAAATTCAGTTGTTTTTTAAGCAATGAGTCACATATGTCCATTTTTCTGTACTTCAGAAACCAGCTACCTAATTCACTACTGTGAAGTTTTTCAAGAACGATAACTCTTGCATGCAATTACTATGTGTATATGGTTTTATTATAAAATGTCAATCTTTAATCGTTTATAGATAATTCATTTTACACAATTTCAGCATTTATGAAATTGATATACATTAATGCAATACTAATCTATGTTAGTATCATTTTTATTGACATTATTTTGCAAACAATTGTGTGTTTCAATTTTTTTTTCAAAATTCACTCCTTTTTACATAAATTTCCTTTTAAAATCCTTAAAATTCTGACAACCTATATTTTTTTGTGGCAGAAAATTTTCTTTACTTCAAAGCAATATATCAACAAAATTTGAATAAATTCTACTGAGAAATGGCAACACAATCCTATTACCTTAACCCCTCTGATAAAAATGCAGTAAAGACTTTTTCCAGAAAATTGTGACATTATTTATAGTAACATGTCAATCCTAACATTGAAAGTAATTTGTTGTGAAATTCCTGAATTTAAAAGTCATGTGTCTTGGAGTGCTTCAAGGTTGGAAATTCAAGGTGACAGTGTTCTCAAGGCTTCAAGATACAGTAACTTTATGGTATGTATGCGAGTCAATTTGTTTTTGTTCCTTGATATTTTTCTGTAAAGAATGAATGTTTTTAGCTCACCTGGCCCGAAAGGCCAAGTGATCGGACTTGTGCCATGGTTCGGCATCCGTCGTCTGGCATCAATATTTTAGTTTAAACAACTTCTTCTTAATAACCAAAAGGCTTAGGGTGATGATATATGGCGAGAAGCAAACTGGGATGAAAGGCTACCAAGTTTGTTCAAATAAATGACCTTCACCAATTTTCAAGGTCACAGGGGTCAAATATGTTAAAAACTTTAAACAACTTCTTCTAAATAACCAAAATGTCCAGGTTGATGATATTTGACCAGTAGCATGCTGGTATGAAGGGCTACCACATTTGTTCAAATGAATGACCTTCACTTGTATTCAAGGTTACAGGGGTCAAATGTCTTAATAACCAGATGCAAGATGCTTTAGATGCCTTCCATTCCAGATTTCCTGTTAGGACCACTGCCAAGCAATTTTCTGTGCCCAAATCAACACTCCATGACTGAATAATTACAATAAGTTTATATAATAATCCTAATTTTTATGTGAATGACCATAGGGACTAAACAACGACTGATCTGACTAAATTTGATGATCTGACCACACGGGCTTTCTGAACAATGCTTACTTGCCGAAATATACACAATTGAAGTTTCAATCTAATCCGCCTTGCTACTTCCAGTCGCCATTTGGTAAACAGGACCTAATCTTGAGCTGATGCGCTTTTGAAAGAGTTTGAAGTATTGCAAAGCTTCTAAACGATCACGCCCAGAACATACTCTCTAAGGATGATGTTTTTGATAAATTTAATATCAATTGTTTAATATATTTCTTTTCTGTATCACTTTCATTAATTCTTAAAAGAACAAATTAATTTTTTCCCCTGCAAACTTTTTCCTTTCAAATGTTAAAACACATTTTTTCGCAAACATTGCGAAAAAATGTTTACATTCGAGTAACTATATCTTTTTTCCTTGTCTGAACGGATGTTCAGTGTTAAAATATAATGCTTAAAGTCTGGTCTCTTTCCCTTTCTTCATCATTCCATGATTGAGTTGTAAATGTTGATTGTTCTTTTTTCTTTCAGAAACTCTTATGCCACGAAATATATATCAGGCAGAAAATATGTTCCATTCATAACATTTTTCTTCCTATATGTAATTAAACTAGCTAGTAATCATACAATGTATATGAGTGTGATTGATGATGTAATCATTTGGATACCGACCATTTATTGTACATGTTATTTATTGCGACATTTAATTTTCACAGGTATATTCCAGCAAAAATTCTAAGATGTGACCCCAGTTGTCATCCAGAAGCTGAAGAGTCTGGTGAAATCTCCACAGTAATAACAACGAAAAAACAGAATACATTGTTATCAACAAACTGTATATTTTGTTCTTCTTTTTACGTTCAAATATTGTGGAGATTACTCGTGAAGTTTGTGGAAAATTTCCATGATTATTGACAAACTGCATGGACATTTTCTTTGATCTTGAAAAAAATCCATGGAACTTTTCCTAACATGAAAAATGTCCATACCAGTTAATTCCTGCAATATTTTAAGCTCACCTAGTATATACCGCAGCATCCGTTTAAAATCCTTTTCCTACCATAGGGATAAAGGTATTTTATTCCAATTTGATCTGGAGCATCCTTAGGGTAAGGGCACCTCACTTTATATAAATGGTGGCCCCTTTTAGGGCAGAGAGATCAGGCAGAATATGGGAAATAGAGGTAACCTTTAAATTCCGTCTTCTACCGTAGGGATTAAGGAATTTTATTCTAATTTAGTCTGGAGCATCCTTGAGCCAAGGGGACTCAACTTTGTATAAACGGTGGGTGTGGCCCCCCTGGGGTCAGAGGGGTGGGGCCCAGTAGGGGAAATAGCGATAAACCTTTAAAATCCTTCTCCTACCATAGGGATAAAGGTATTTTATCCCAATTTGGTCTGGCCATCCTTAGGATAAGGGCACCTCACTTTATATAAATGGTGGCCCCTTTTGGGGCAGAGAGATCAGGCAGAATATGGGAAATAGAGGTAACCTTTAAATTCCTTCTTCTACCGTAGGGATTAAGGAATTTTATTCTAATTTAGTCTGGAGCATCCTTGAGCCAAGGGGACTCAACTTTGTATAAACGGTGGGTGTGGCCCCCCTGGGGTCAGAGGGGTGGGGCCCAGTAGGGGAAATAGCGATAAACCTTTAAAATCCTTCTCCTACCATAGGGATAAAGGTATTTTATCCCAATTTGGTCTGGCCATCCTTAGGATAAGGGCACCTCACTTTATATAAATGGTGGCCCCTTTTGGGGCAGAGAGATCTGGCAGAATATAGGAAATAGAGGTAACCTTTAAATTCCGTCTTCTACCGTAGGGATTAAGGAATTTTATCCTAATTTAGTCTGGGGCATCCTTGGGCCAAGGGGACTCAATTTTGTATAAACGGTGAGTGTGGCCCCCCTGGGGTCAGAGGGGTGGGGCCCAGTAGGGGAAATAGAGATAAACCTTTAAAATCCTTCTCTTACCATAGGGATAAAGGTATTTTATCCCAATTTGGTCTGGAGAATCTTTGGCCCAAGGGTACTCAATATTGTATAAATTGGGTGTGGCCCCCCTGGGGGCAGAGGAGCGGGGCCGAAAAGGGGAAATAGAAGTAAACCTTTAAAATCCTTCTTCTACCATAGGAATAAAGAGATTTCATCCCAATATGGTTTTGAGCATCCTTAGGCCAAGGGGACTCAATTTTATATTAATTTTAATGGTGACACCTTCTTGGGGCAGAGTGGTAGGGCCCAATAGGGGAAATAGAGGTAAACCTTTAAAATCCTTTTCCTACCATAGGGATAAAGGTATTTTATCCCAATTTGGTCTGGAGCATCGTTGGCCCAAGGGGACTCAATTTTGTATAAATTGGGTGTGGCTCCCCTGGGGACAGAGGAGCGGGGCTGAAAAGGGGAAATAAAAGTAAACCTTTAAAATCCTTATTCTACCATAAGGATAAAGGGATTTCATCCCAATATGGTTTTGAGCATCCTTAGGCCAAGGGGACTCAATTTTATATTAACGTTAATAATAGTGACACCTTCTTGGGGCAGAGTGGTGGGGTCGAATAGGGGAAATAGAGGTAAACCTTTAAAATCTTTTTTCTACCATAGGGATAAAGGTATTTCATCCCAATTTGGTATTTTGTATAAATGGTGGGTTGCCCTCCCCCCTTCCCCCCCTTNGAGGTAAAACTTTAAAATCCTTATTCTACCGTGGGGATAAAGGGATTTTATCTGAATTTCCTCTGAAGCCTCCTTGGTCTTATGGGACTCAATTTGATATAAACAGTGGGTATGGCCCCAATGGGGGAAGAAGGATGGGTCTGAATATGGGAAATAGAGGTAACCCTTTAAAATCCTTCTTCTACTGTAGAAATTAAGAGATTTTATCCCAATTCGGTCTGGAATATCCTTAGGCCAAGGGGACTCATTTTTGTATAAATGATGGGTGTGGGCCCCTTGGGGGCAGAGGGGTGTGTTTGAATAGGGGAAAAAGGTTTAAAACTTTCTTCTTCTACCATAGGGATGAAGGGATTTCATCCCAATTTGATCTGGATGATCCTAATAGGCCAAGGGCACTCAATTTCGTAAAAACAGTGGGTTTAGCCCCCAAGGGAGCAGAGGGGCGTGGCCAAATGGGGGAAATAGAGGTGAAACCTTTGAAATCCTCCTTCTACCATAGGGATTACCAGATTTTATCCCAATTTTGTCTCCATCAAGTGTCTAGTAGTGCCTGTTAAGAGATAAGGGTGTATTCATTTAAACAAGATGGCTACCAAGCCACCATATTGAATTTTGACATCTGAAGTTTGTTCTGGCTATATATCTCCAGAAAAACTAGATTGATCTTTCTGAAATTTCATATGTACATACAGTACCTACCATGGAGTGCTATATCTTTACCTCATAACAAGTACTTTAAACATATCCAGGTGAGCCGTACAGGCCCCCTGGGCCTCTTGTTATGGAATGAGTTTATTCTTTGGAAAGATGGTTCCAGATTTAGGTAAAAGCTCAATCGGACAAATATGTCAAACACTTAAAACGACTTCCTCTGAAGAACCTAAAGGCATAGAATCATATAATATTACGCTGGTACCTTCATGGATGGAGATTGACAAAGTTTGATATTAAAAATTACCTCAACCTTCTTTCAAGCTCACAGGGGTAGAATATGGCAAAAACTGCATACAGCTTCTTTTGAAGAAGTGAAAGGCACAAAGTTGTGATATTTAACAACAATAACGATCGCGAAGAGCCACAAGGTGATGATATTGGGAAAAATGACAACCAAGTTTTTCAACTAAATGACTTTGCTAGACTTTCAAGGTCACGGTGTTAAAATCTTGTAACAGGCTATTTTGAATAACAAAGAGCCATAGGTAAGGATTTTTATTCTATAGCTTTTTAATTTGATATAAAGCATATCCTTGGCCCAATATGATTCAATATTGTATAAACCATGCCCCCATCCCATATATATGGGGACAGAGCATGGGACTCAATAATGTAAGGATGTTGCTGAGAGATGGCAACAATATTTGGAAAAATTTGTAGTATAAATATGCCTCTTATTTTTAAACGACATCTTCACTTTAACTAATAGGCCAAAGATGGTGATATTTAGCCAATAGCATAATGGGATAAAAGCCTAATATGGTAGAAAAGAAGAACACAGACCCATCATTTTTGGGGTGTTTTAAGAAGAGAGAAGCATTTCTTTCGACCTACTGAATATTACAAAATGTTAGTCATCAGAACTTTCTATATCAATTAGCAAAAACTGGTGAAAAAATGAGGATTTTAAAAATTAAAATAAGATGTAGGGGTAACTTAAACTGCTTTTCAGAGATCAAAATACAATTTAAATAATTTTTACTTCAATAAGTTAGAAGAAAAATTACGAATTTTGCAAAAAATCATAGATTTCTGATATGACACACTAAGGGAATGATCAAAATGACAAATTTCTTGAAAGTATCACAAAATTTGTATCTTTGATTGACCTTAGCAAAAGAAATAAGCACATGGTCATACCATTTACTTTGCATTCTTAATTTTCTCATGTTTTCTGCTTAAAAGTAAGGTATATGCTAAAAAAAATAATTGTAGAAGGGCAAATCCCAAAGGTGAGAGTACAAGAGTTTTGCAGGTCACACATGGAAAATTGGTTAGATTTGTGAAAAACTTTTTCAGATTGAGAAATCTTTGAAACAAACTCTTCATGGAAGAAAGGTCTAATGTAATGGTACTTTATCATAATTGTGAATTTATTAATCACTAGTCATCCATTATACCCCCTCCAGAGGGAGTAAATTCTACAATTATAGTTAAAATAGAGAAATAACACTTTCAGAATTGATTTGTTGATTTTCAGTTAAAAATCAATCAATCTTTGTCAGAATTGTTATCATAGGATATGACTGTTTGAAGTTTGATAGAACAGCTATATACTTTCCACTCAATGTTTTGTCACATAATATAGCTTTTCAGTTAATATCATGTTTTCTTGAAATACCAGTTTAGCTTAATGTGCGAGTCACCCTTTTTTCATGCTGTCTAGTTTTTTTTTCATGCTGTCTAGGGCGCTAGGGACAAAGTTGAAAAAATGGCTAAATTTTATGATCCCCTCGCAATGAAAGTTCAAGGGGATAGGATTCTGCCCTTATACCTACGTATGTACATATATGTTACACTGTTTGTCATCGCTCTAGCAACTTCATTCCTCAATGGAGTTTCATGATACTTCATTCAAGCATTTAGTATGACAATACCTTGAACAAGTTCGCATTTTGGGTTTCTATGTTGAAGGTCAGGGTCACTTACTATTTTTACAAAAAAACTTTGTCATCGCTCTAACGACTTCATTTTTCAACGGAATTTCATAAAACTCATACAAGTGTTTGGTATGACAATGCCTTGAACATCTTCTCCTTTTGGGTTTCTACATTGAAGGTCAAGGACACTGTTACTATTTTTAGAAACAACTTTGTCATCGCTCTAGCGACTTCATTTCCTCTTCCATGATTATGTCACAATGAGTGAATGCAAGGGGATTTGTATCACTTGTGATGCCAAAATTACCCACTTTGATTAACCAAAAAATGCTGGAAACTAGGCTACAGTTTCAAGCAGGATTATTGCAGCGTAGGGGTGAATCTTTCATAAAAGTTGTGAATTTTATGCCCCTGGGCCTCAGGATTTTGCTCTAGGAGTAAGGCCAGATGCTTTATCTATATAGAGAAATTAACAAAAGTATAATTTCTCATTTAAAACTAGCATAATTTATTTGAGTAGTAATTAGTGTTGTTGATGACATGGCAAGATATGATGCTTTATTAATGTACTTATTTCCACTTTACATCTCAACAATGCAAAATAACTATAAAATGCATGATCATTAATGCTAGTACTGTGTATCACAAGTGTTGTGACGTAATGATACAAAAGTACATATAATCATACAAGGGTCAAGATATTTATAATACATATCATAATACTTATCAACTTTTTGTACAAACCTGAAACAATAGTTTTCCATAATCTTGATATGTAACTAATCTAAAGCTTTAGTATGCCATGCTGAATTAATTTGGTTTTTAAATAATATATATCTTAAATTGTAGATCATCACAGAAAATGTATACAGTATGCTAGAAAAGGACTGTGAACTACAGAAACTCGAACTCCCAGTAAGTACAAAAGCCAACCGACAAACCCACACTCCCAGTAAGTATACCACAGTCAACCTACAGACCCACACTCCCAATCAGTACCACAGTCAAACTAAAAACCCACACTCCCAGTAAGTATACCACAGTCAACCTACAGACCCAAACTCCCAGTCAGTACCACAGTCAACCTAAAAACCCACACTCCCAGTAAGTATACCACAGTCAACCTACAGACCCACACTCCCAGTCAGTACCACAGTCAGCCTACAGACTCACACTCCCAGTAAGTACCGTAAATTTGCGCGTATAGTGCAAACTTTTTTAGGTAAATATTGTCATGTCAAAAAGGGGGTGCGCACTATACGCAGGAACAAGTCATTATTGGGTTATCGTTCCTGAGTTTCTGGTCCGCCATATTGGATTACCTCCCTTCAAATAGTTTTATTTTGAGTCGTCTGTCATATATGATAAGATTGAAGTTTAAATAACAACAAAGAATGAAATTCTTTGGCGACACAATTTTTACCTTCTCTTAAATTATTAAAATCGGTAATCTGTGGTCATGACTGCTGATTTGGCGACAAACACTAGCTGGGCATGTAACATTTTTAGGTCACCTGAGACAAAGTCTCAAATGACCTATTGCGATCGCCTATTGTCCGTCGTCGTCCGGCGTTCATCGTCGTCCGTCCATAAACAGTTTACATTTTCGACTTCTTCTCCAAAACCCCTGAACCATTTTCAATGAAATTTTGCAGGGACCTTCCATGGACAAAGGTCAACAAAAATAGTGGCCGGTTTAGTCCCAAGCCACCAGGGGCCTGAGGGGCGGGGCCAAAAAGGGTCAATTCATATATGGAAGGGTCTTAAAGTGCTTTACCAAAATTATGAATTTCTTGACCCTGGGGTATCGCGTTTCCCCCTGGGAAGGGTAAACATTACTATAGTTTATATAGGGAAATCACATTTTGGACCAACATTTGTCTAATTTCCATTGGAAGTAATTCAGTTTGGGTTAGCATTATCAGTATTAGGTAGCAGTTTGATAGTATGCACATATGAGCCCTGACTGACCCCCAAGGGCTGATGGGTGGGGCAAAAAAGGGTTGAATTGACTGAAATTTCAAAAATCTTCTTCTGAAGACCCAGATATGGTAGAATCAAATGCTCTTCATATATGGAAGGGTCTGAAGGTGCTTTACCGAAATTGTGAATTTCATGACGCTGGGGTCTCGCATTTCCCCCTGGGGAGGGGGTAAACTTTACTATAGTTTATATAGGGAAATCACATTTTGGACCAACATTTGTTTAATTTCCATTGGAAGTAATTTATTATGGTTTATAATGGCAAATGATACTTTGAATATTACATGTTAATAACTTGATTTGAATTATAACCTTGAGTTGACAGTTTGATACTTTGAAAATTTTGAGCCAGCCCTACCCCCAAGTCAACGTAATGACCCACACTTTCAGTAAGACCACAGTCAGCCTACAGACCCACACTCCCAATAAGTATACTACAGTCAACCTACAGACCCACACTCCCAGTAAGTACAAGTCAACCTACAGACCTACACTCCCCGTCAGTACCACAGTCAACCTAAAGACCCACACTCCCAGTAAGTACCAAAGTCAACCTACAGACCTACACTCCGAGTCAGTACCACAGTCAACCTAAAGACCAACACTCCCAGTCAGTACCACAGTCAACCTACATAATCACACTTCCAGTAAGTACCACAGTCAGCCTACAGAATCACACTCCCAGTAAGTACCACAGTTTACATAAAGACCCACACTTCCAGTAAGACCACAGTCAGCCTACAGAATCAAACTACCAGTAAGACCACAGTCAGCCTACAGAATCACACTCCCAGTAAGACCACAGTCAATCTAAAGACCCACACTCCCAGTAAGTACCACAGTCAACCTAAAGACCCACACTCCCAGTAAGACCACAGTCAGCCTACAGACCCACACTCCCAATTAGTATACAATGTACCACAGTAAACCTACAGACCTACACTCCCAGTCAGTACCACAGTCAACCTACATAATCACACTCCCAGTAGGTACCACAGTCAGCCTACAGAATCACACTCCCAGTAAGTACCACAGTCAGCCTACAGAATCACACTCCCAGTAAGTACCACAGTAAACCTAAAGACCCACACTCCCAGTCAGTACCAAAGTCAACATAAAGACCCACACTCCCAGTAAGTACCACACTCAACCTACATAATCACACTCCCAGTAAATACCACAGTCAGCATAAAGACCCACACTCCCAGTAAGTACCACAGTCAGCCTACAGAATCACACTACCAGTAAGTACCACAGTCAGCCTACAGAATCACACTTCCAGTAAGTATACCACAATCAGCCTACAGAATCACACTCCCAGTCAATACCACAGTCAGCATCAAGACCCACAATCCCAGTAAGTACCACAGTCAGCCTACAGAATCACACTACCAGTACTCCCAGTCAGTACCACAGTCAACCTAAAAACCCACACTCCCAGTAAGTATACCACAGTCAGCCTACAGAATCACACTCCCAGTAAGTATACCACAGTCAGCCAACAGTATCACAATCCCAGTAAGTACCACAGTCAACCTACAGAATCACACTCCTATTAAGTACCACAGTCAGCCTACAGACCCACACTCCCAGTAAGTATACCACAGACAGCCTACTGAACCACACTCCCAGTAAGTACCGCAAACAGCCAACAGTATCACAAAGTCAGTAAGTATACTAGTCAACCTACAGACCTACACTCCCAGTCAGTACCAAAGTCATCATAAAGACCCACACTCCCAGTAAGTACCACAGTCAGCCTACAGACCCAGTCTCCCAGTAAGTACCACAGTCAACCTACAGACCCACACTCCCAGTAAGTATACCACAGACAGCCTACAGAACCACAGTCCCAGTAAGTACCGCAAACAGCCAACAGTATCACAATCCCAGTGAGTATACTACAGTCAAACTAAAGACCCACACTCCCAGTCAGTACCACAGTCAACCTAAAGACCCACACTCCCAGTAAGTTCCACAGTTAACCTACAGACCCACACTCACCATTAGTACCACATTCAACCTACAGAATCACACTCCCAGTAAGTAAACCACAGTCACTCTACATAATCACACTCCCAGTCAGTACCACAGTCAGCCTCCATACCAACACTCCCAGTAAGTATACTACAGTCAACCTACAGACCCACAATCACAGTTACTACCACAAACAGCCAACAGTATCACACTCCCAGTAAGTATACCACAGTGAACCTACAGAATCACACTCCCAGTAAGTACCACAGTCAACCTACAGAATCCCGCTCCCAGTCAATACCACAGTCAACCTATATAATCACACTCACAGTAAGTATACCACAGTCAGCCTACAGACCAACGCTCCCAGTTAGTACCACAGTCAACCTCCCAGTAAGAATACCACAGACAACCTACAGAATCACGCTCCCAGTAAATATCACAGGCAACCTTCAGAATCACCCTCCCAGTAAGTACCACAGTCAACCTACAGACCCACACTCACAGTTAGTACACAGTGAACCTACAGAATCACACTCCCAGTCAATACCACAGGCAACCTATATAATCACACTCACAGTAAGTATACCACAGTCAGCCTACAGACGTAAGTACCACAGTCAGCCTACAGAATCACACTCCCAGTAAATATCACAGACAACCTACAGAATCACACTCCCAGTAAATATCACAGGCAACCTTCAGAATCACACTCCCAGTAAGTATTACATAGTCAACCTACAGAATCACATTCCCAATAAGTCCCACAGTCAGCCTACAGACCAACGCTCCCAGTTAGTACCACAGTTACACTCCCCGTCAGTACCACAGTCAACCTTCAGACCCACACTCACAGTTAGTATACCACAGTCAGCCTTCAGACCAACACTCCCAGTTAGTACCGTCCCAGTAAGTACCGCAACCAGCCAACAGTATCACAATCCCAGTAAGGATACCACAGTCAACCTACATAATCACACTGCCAGTAAGTACCGCAAACGGCCAACAGTATCACAATCCCCGTAAGTATACAACAGTAAACCTACAGATGTACACTCCCAGTCAGTACCATCAGCCTACAGAATCACACTCCCAGTAAGTACCGCAAACAGCCAACAGTATCACAATCCCAGTAAGTATACAACAGTAAACCTACAGACGTACACTCCCAGTCAGTACCAAAGTCAACATAAAGACCCACACTCCCAGTAAGTACCACAGTCAACCTACAGACCCACACTCCCAGTCAGTACCAAAGTCAACCAAAAGACCCACACTCCCAATAAGTACCGCAGTCAACCTACAGACCCACACTCACAGTTAGTACCACATTCAACCTACAGAATCACACTCCCAGTAAGTATCACAGTCAACCTTCATAATCACACTCCCAGTAAGTACCATATTCAACCTACAGAATCACACTCCCAGTAAGTATACCACAGTCAATCTACATATTCACACTCCCAGTCAGTACCAAAGTCAACATAAAGACCCACACTCCCAGTAAGTACCACAGTCAACCTACAGACCCACACTCACAGTCAGTACCAAAGTCAACCAAAAGACCCACACTCCCAGTAAGTACCACAGTCAACCTACAGACCCACACTCACAGTTAGTACCACATTCAACCTACAGACCCACACTCCCAGTAAGTATACCAAAGTCAGCCTACAGACCAACACTCCCAGTAAGTATACCACAGTCAACCTACAGACCCACACTCACAGTTACTACCACAGACCGACTACAGACCAACACTCCAAATAAGTATACCACAGTCAGCCTACAGACCCATACTCCCAGTAACAACCACAAACAGCCAACAGTATCACAATCCCAGTAAGTATACCACAGTCAACCTAAAGACCCACACTCACAGTTAGTACCACCGTCAACCTACAGAACCACACTCCCAGTAAGTATACCACAGTCAACCTACATAATCACAC